TTTTTCATAATAAAAATCTGATTTTATTTAATATCTTACTAAACTAATTATTTTCATGAAATTAATCAATTTCCTAAACTAATTAATAGTATTTTCGGATTATATATAATAAAAAAAAATCTGATTTTTATTCTTCCAATTATTAATTTTCACAAAATAAATTTTACTGGATTATTAATTTTAGGCATAAAAATTATTTTACAAAATCTATAAAATTAACATAGAGAAACCAAAATTATTGAGCAATATTGAGCTCAATATTTTCGGCCACTCATGATTTTTCTAAATGATTTTAATTTATTTTATTAAAAATAAAAATCCTTTAAAATTCCTTATTTCTACTCTGAAATCTAAAAATTATTTGATCTTATTCTATACTTGCACTCCAAGCTCAAAACTTACTAAGCAAAAATTTCATGACCAAATAAAATCTAAATATTCTTCCATACATTTAATTATTTCCTAAACCCTTAAAACCCTAATTTCCATCCTTTGAAATTACCATAAATCATACAACCCTAAATTGATATAAACTCATCACCTAAACACCTATAAATACCCCCTCCAATCACCCCAAGAATCACACCAAAAACCTCAAGAAATCTTCTTCTCTCTCTGTCTCTCTCTCACGGTTTTCCTCCTCTTCTCCTCCCTCAAACTTTCGGCCACTGCCATCACCGGCGGCCCTCGCCGGCAACCACCAGCCACCACTGCTGGCAGCCACCAACTCACATGGCCGACCACCTTGCTTCCTCCCTTGCCTTGGTTTCCATCTTCGTCCTTCAATTTCTCCTTCTCCTAAACTTGTTTTACAATTTATAATTGAATTTCATAAATATTATTTCTTGAATAAATTATTTTATAAAAACAGAAAATTATCTTATAAAAACAGAAAAATTTATTTTATTAAAGTATAATAATAAATCATAATTAATTCATGCACATATAGGATAGATTGGTTAAGTTGTTGTGCTTATTTGATAGCCTTATATTAATTAAGGTTATAATAATATGTAGGGTGTTCGTGATTAAGTGAAGTGAAGTAAAGTATTGTGTGAATCGCTCGTGTTACGATCAAGGTACGTTATGTGGTTTGATACCTTCGACAGTTGACTATGAAATTATATTTTATTATTGTTCCGTATGAAATTATATTTTACGTTCCGTATGAAATTATGTTATTACGTTCCGTATGAAATAATGTTTTATGAAATTATGTTGTATGATGGATTGAAATTAATGTTTTTTTATTAAAACAAAAGAGACTTTGAATCGTGATTAAAATTATTAAAAAGGATTGGATTAAAAATGATTTACAAGTTTATTGTTATTCATGTATAACGGATTTTAAAAGGTGCTTTTAAGCAAATCAATCGATATGTTATGAATCCCACTTAGGGAATGGATTAGAGAAGGCTATGGACTTTGCATGACCTAGTCTTTCCTCAAGATTGGCCTTTGTTCATAAAGTAAACCACTTGGGGGGTGTGCACACTTAGTGAGGAATTGGTTTTGAAATGTAATCGATTGAGTTTTAACCTTCTCTTGAAAGAATTGAATTGTAAAAGTTCTTACATGAGTATGATATTGAGAAGATCGTGTTGAAATTATTGGAATTAAATGTAAGGGATTTAATTAATGTTTTACTTATCTCACACATAATCTACTTAGCATAAATTGCTAATGCGTGCTTTTGTTTTGGCTTTGCCCTGTTTACCATTTATGGTAAGCAGGTGAACCTTTCAGGTGGAAGTTGATTGATGCATATGGGAGTCCACGGGAATTTCACCTAGCTTAAGAAAAGTTTGAGTTGTTTTTGTGTCATAATCTATGAACAATTTTATTTGAAGTATTATTAATAAAGAATAAAGAATTTCCGCTGCAAAAGTATTTTGAAGTATAAGCCTTGCGTTTTCACGCGGCGGTAATACGCCCAAGTCTATATCTACGGTATTTATACGTATTTTTCTACATAGAGGGAGATTTGGGGGTGTTACAGCCTCATCTTCATGGAATACTTTTTTCGTTGTTAACTCTTGGGTATAATTTTTTTTGTTCACTTGTACCTTGAAAATGTATCTCTTTCCAATACAATTTTCAAACCTTTCCCAAACTTTTTCTTGTCCATATTGTTGTAAAATGGATGATATTAATGTTGAAACATAGTGCAAGTTTCATAAAAATGTAGCAAGTTGCATATATTAGATTTGCAGCGATGCACCTGCACGCTTATTTGCATCATTGCTGGTATTGGAAAGGCTATTATTTTTTCCACACATTTATAAAACAATCCTATGGTGACATGTTCATCTTCTTCTTTTACAGTTATCACTAGTCAATACCTGTTCATTAGAAATAACAATTAGTTATGCATGTTGTAATTGTGTAGTTTTTAAATTTTGTTGTACATACCTTTGAATTGGGAATTCTTCTATGAGTTGACATTTTTAGCACATGTGGTCGGCATCAAACTTTGTTTTGCAAGTTCTACATGATTCATATTTCTAACCATAATCTCTAACATGCGCCATATCAATTTCAGCATGGCAAGTATAAGCCTCTTGTAGATCCTAATAAAAAGTTCCAAATATTTAGAATATATAATATAGGTCACCTATTATCTGGACTGTAATAGTTTGTAAAAAAAATTAATGTCATCTATACCTGATTGTTTTCTTGCTGAAGATAAATTTGTTGTAATTCTTGTGTTGACTTGCGATTCTTTGTCATAGATTCTAACTTGGTTTTCGGCTGTGGAATCTCAATTCTTGCTACTTGAGGAAAATGTTCACCTAGACTGTAAATATTTTTTAAATTTCATGTACCATGTTGCGCAATATTTTACATGTAATATTTAATTTTTAAGAAAAGTATGTTATGAATGTTCTTACAGTTTTTTAAAGGTTTCAACCTCGGGGATATCTAAGTTAACATAAATCTTTGTATCGCTTGTAGATCCCAATTGATAGTTTCCTGTAAAATTTAATTTACATCCTAAAGTCATTAAAACATCAACAACCACTTGACTTACCTATTTGTAAAGAATAGACATTACAAGAAAAACAATAGAAGGAAAAATAAAGAAGTAAAGGTTTTTCTTTCACATACAAAAAAGAGAGGACAATAATACTTGTAACAATATGGAATAAAATAATAAAGTAGGAACGGGTTTGAAGTAAAGATTACCAATATATTGACTAACACGTGTGCTAGTGATGATGAGAATCTTTGCATCTTGGTCATTGGCCATTATAGTTTCCTATGTAACTCTGTTTTGTCATTTCAAAGAGTGACCATTACTTTGTTGTTCCCGAATGTATTAAGCCAAGCATCATTTAAATAGATTTGAAATTTTAGTAATGTGCTTAAATTTGGTCTTCAATGTATAATCTCCTCCTTATATTTCCTTGTGCATCTCTAACAATATTTTCAACGCCAGTTTGAAGTCCAATTACATCTGTAAGTTATTTGTCAAAGTTCAGTTAGTGAGGATGATATATTGCTATGTATATTTAGTTTTATAAATTGTAATTACCTGTTACTATATCATTTCTGCCACAACGTTCATGCAAGTTTTGTAATGGAAGCAGCTTAAACTTGTGCAGCGCAATTTGTGCAATGCTTTCTTCTTCCATAGTGACAGAAGTGAAGGAGGTGAACCAAATCATATACTCATTTGGAACAGGTTTAAGCTTTCGTTTACTCTTAGCCACATTGAAATGTTTTAGAGTATAAACCCTGCCTTCTTCAAGCTTATCCTTGAAATGTTGTATTAGATGCTTTGGCGCAACACCCTGTATATGTTTTCCCTAAAACAGAGACATAAAAACAGAACACATCAAATACAATACTAGAAACTATAATTTGTAAGGTTAAGTATTTTTGTTTTAGAAATTTCATGGTTGGTTCTCTGATCATACTCACAAAGGAAGTAGCAGGTCCCACATTAGTAGTTTCAAGGGTGATGGAATTACTTGTGTCCATTCAACACAAGATTCTTATTCTTTCACTTTAACGAATGTGTTGATGCATAATTGACATAGAAGTTTCATTTTGTTTAATTTGTTTATAGGCATGTATCATGTATGTTAAATCAGTTTATTATTTGATTAAAGCAGAGTAAATACCTGTTCATCAAGAAGGATCATATCTAATGTGTTTGGCTCAACATTTTTTGGATCATATCGCACTTCCCATAAGCGTGTGAGGCGAGCTGTAAGCATCCAATTTTTCTTAGATGCATCCAAGTCAGCAATTGGAGTTTTTATAGCTTCCATCTATCTGTACTTTAGAAAGAGTGATTAATGTACCAATTTATTTGAATTTTGTAACAAGCACTTTCTAATGACTATGGAATGCTTAATATGAGCAAATAAATGTTTTCTTTGGTTTTAAATTATTTCACAGTCAACATGTATCTAAAATAGTAATACAACTAACAGTAATTACTATACATAATATTGTTGTCTATATTACAACATTGACAATACTTCAGTTTTAATACTACAAATTTTCAAAGATTTCCCTATAGACTACATTCTTTGTCATTGACTTGCCTTGGCATCTATCTTCATCTCTTCCAATACAAATTTTGAGTCCTTCTTTACTGGTCACTCTTGACACTGCAACGTACAGTTGCCCATGGCTGAACACAGGGTCAGGCAAGTATATGCCCACACGGTTGAATGTTTGTCCTTGACTTTTATTTATAGTCATTGCAAAACACACTTTGACTGGGAATTGGAAGCGTTTTAGAGTAAAAGGAAATGTTATTCAGACAGGGTCATTTCAACCCTAGGGATAGGCACTATTTTTTCAACATTTGTTCCCATTACAACCTTTGCCTGAATCACTCTATGGTCTAATCTTGTAACAATGAGCCTTGTTCCATTGCATAAGCCTTCACTTTGTTAAATATTGCGTAGAAGAATTATTGGGCAACCTACTTTAAGGCATATTTCATGAATGGGAATACCAGAGAATTGAAGATTATTTAAGAATTATGTTGGATAAAGAGCATCATCGTTTGTACTTGTATTTGAGAATGGGCAGATTCGATCTGCACTTTTGTAAACCTGTACATCCCCAGGAATCAAACTTCGGATGTAATTATTTATTTCATCAACAACTTTGTTTTTTGGGGTTAGAATTTCTCTTTCTGTGAGGTATTGTAGGTCTTTGTACCTGTGTAACAGATTAGGGTATATTTCATGGACAATAGATGTTTTGTTGTCCATTTCAGTTTCCACCAGTATATCTTTAGGCATCTCTATCCAAGTTGGTTCATCATCACCTTCCTTTGATATGGCTGGCAATTTTCCATCTCCCAAATCTAACACCCATTTTTTGAACTAACACACATCATGTTCTGTACTTCCAAACCCATTGCCTTTTATTCTCATATTAATTGTTAGTTTGAATACCTGACATTAAGGCCATAAACATTGGGATTTATTAATTGACGCATCTACAATTTATGCTCTTCCTTTTTTGGGTACAACCGATAATATTTGTCTAAAATCACCTCCAAGTACTACCGTTTTCCCACCAAACACGAGATCCTTGGTAGCATGGTTTGTAGTTTGCATTATTTCACGAAATTTCCTATCAAATGCCTCAAAAGCATGCCTATGGATCATTGGTGCCTTGTCCCATATAATCAATTTTGCCTTTTGAACTAACAACGCCAACTCAGATCCCTGGCTAATTCTGCAACATGAACTTTCATGTAGCTGAATTGGAATACAAAATCCTGAATGGGTTGTCTTTCCGGAAGGAAGTAATAAAGATGCTATGCCTGATGATGCTACAGCTATGACTATATGGTTATGACCTTAATTTGGATATCAAGGTACGCCACAAATATGTCTTCCCCGTTCCTCCACTCCCATACACAAAAAACAGACGACCATTATTGTTATGAACATACTGTGTTATTGCTTCATATACACTTCTTTGATCTTCATTCAGTCCTTTTTCTAGGTTTAAAGCTTCTTCAGCGAGGACATTGACATCATACATTTGTTCTTCCACAATCATTTGATTTGATGTTTGTAGCAAAATACTCATATCTAGAAAAGGCATGGTTGGGAATTCTCGAAGTGAGTGATTGGTTTTTTTTAGTATTTTTTCTATCTCACCTAAGGTGTAATTTTGAATTTGGTTCTGTGACAATTTTAGGTTAGGGTTGTTGAATTTTTGTTGTTGTTTCAAAAGAATGTCATCTGACAAATTTTTCCATTGACCGTCTCATAAGTCCTTTGGATTTGAAACTTCACAGAACATTAGAAGGGTGACAAATAGGTCCCGTAATTGTGCACCAGTTGCTTAAGTAGCAGCTTCATTCAAGGCTTCAATCCACTCATTGTCCTCTTCTAAAAGGCCCCAAGCATTGCAAGCTTCCTTAAAAGTTGGGTATACTACATTGTTTACCGTTCTAATGTCTTCAAAGCAAGTGGGACCTCTTACAATGTTAAGGAGCATTCTCAAGTAGTATTATTCACCTGATGTTGGATGAGCGTAATAAATCCTACCAATCTTAAAACCTCTATCTCGCTCTTTCCACATTTTTTCATCTCTTAGCCAAACCTAACTTGTTGGAAATTCAGTGTAAGTTAGTTCTCGTGCTTTAAGACTTGTTTTATTAGTTTCCATCCACTCGGTAAACGGAGTCCTTGCTTCTCCCACGCGACGTAGCACACCATCTAGGTATTCATGGTCTTCAAACACCACTGGTTGTGCATTGGTAGGTGGTAACTCAACCTTTCAACGGAGGGTTCTTTGTATTGAATTTCAAAGACAAACATTCTCCAACATGCTTTTACTGCCGAGACATATCTACACTTAAGGTAAGATTGTATCTCGTCAATTGTAGTTTCAGATTGACCTTGACCTACTCCTTCAGTGTTAGTGTTACTGTTGGTATTGGTCTGGTCAATTGATGCAAGTACCATGTCTGAGCCTTTGTTCATGTACTTGAAAAGGTATTTGGTACTATTGTACTTCTTGCACAACTCCACATTAATATGTGCTTGATATTTTACCAGCAGGTCGACATTATAAGGTACAATGGAAGAATTGTCAATAACTTTTTTTTTTATTTGCGGTTCTTCCATTATTCCTTCTTCTATAGATTGGGTATCCATCTTCCCCTATACTTGTTTTATTTGTAAAAGCTTTAGGGTAATATTTTGTACACCTTCCTTGTTACATACAAGGTGAACGCTGATTAATGACCCCGTAAGGACCATGGTTCATGTGTTGGACGACAGCTGGGAATGCATTTGGATCGGCTCATCAGGTAACTCTGCACATATTAACTTATCAATGTGTTCTGTTGTTCTTGGCTTGTCTTCTTTTAGCAAAAATAATAGTATGTGCGCATGCGATAGCCCTCTTTTTTTAAACTCAATTGTATAAATTGTTGTTAAAAAAAATAAAAAAAATAAAACTTTGTGAATTTTTTTTTTTTTTTTTAATTACTACATTTAAATTATATGTTTTATACCCGCTTTAGTTTGTCCGAAATGACCTCTTTCTGTCAGGTCACACATCAATTCATCAAGCTTGATCTTGAAAACTCGAGCAATAATATCAGGCCGATCCTCGGGTTGTTGACTTGGTATTATGCTTAAGTATTGTACAATCTCATCCCAATTTGGATTGCAAGTGAAGGTTATAAAGATATCTGGAGGACCAGCCCATCTACATATTGCCAATGCATCATGATAGTTTTGTATAAGTAATCTTGGGCTTCCTGTGAAGGAAGAAGGAAATATTACATGTTGGCCTATAGATGCAGGCATGTCATCTCCACGAGACACAACATCTTCAAGTCCTTTCAAAATTTCTTTTCGAATTTTCTTTTGATTTTCCCTTACCCAATCTAACCAGGACTCTTGTAAACATGTGAATGCATCAACTTGAAATTGTTGATTCAACCTCCCTAATTTGAATCTTGTCTTAGATTCTTGTAGTCTTTGTTGGAAGCGAAATGCATAATTTTCTCTAATGGAAACATATCTCCTTGTCCTTTTTGTACTTCCATCTACATCAGCATGAGGTATATCAGTTCGATATCCATCTTCCCCATTAGTAAATAGGATAGGATATTGCATTGCTATAAAGCTGGGGTGCAATTCTGATATTCTCTTCAGGTCTTCTGACCTGTGTTCAATTATGACATCACGATGACCTTTTTCATTGTCACTTGAACCCACAATAAGTGCAGTAACCTCTAATTTTGTGGGCAAGTTGTATTGTCTCCCATCTTTAGCTCGTGAGCCAATCAATCGAAGGCGAACTAATTGAAGATCAGTTTGTTGAAACCTTTCTCTTGCCATACGAAACACCTTAGTTAATTCGTTGCACTCATCAAACATCTTTGATAGGTTTTCAACAATTTCTAAATCGACATTTGGCTGCCTACCATTGTTTCTTAGAGTATTCATTCTGTTTTCAACTTCATTTTCAGTATCATATATGTATAGTTGTGTGAATCTTGGTTGCTCACCAATAGGGGGTAATAATGACCCAATTTTATGGTGATTTTGGCCATTCAACCTAAACACATAAGGTGAAGTTCCCTGGTTGATTGAGTTATCAACCTTTCCATCCATTGATGTGAACGCAAATAAAGAGTTTAATACCCTAGCTTGCTTTTGAAGTCTTCTTAACTTAGGCCCTTCACTATGGAGTAGCTGTTGTAAATACTCTGGTGGATTTTGTAACAGAGCTAGCTTAATTTTCCCCTTTTGGCAACATAAGCCAAACTTGGCTATGTTTTTGTTGGAATCTTTTTTGACACGTTCTTCGTACCACATAATTGCCTCACAGTCTTGGCATGTATGTGTTGGTCCACCAAAGGTCTATGACTCTGTGTATTTTCCTTCATTATAAATTTATTAGTTATTACTTTTATACATATCTTATCATTTTTAACTGTTATTTAAAGTACTTACTTTTTCGCATGTTTGTAGGCATTTGTTTATCATTGCTTTGTTGTAGTCCCATTGACATTTTAGATTCATCTTCTACAATTTGCGTTGATTTACTGGTTTCATGACGTGATGTTGAACCAATAGTCAAATCAATTTTCCTTTTAAGCCCTAATACATCGAATTCATGATTAATTTTGGAAATGTGAAATTTAATGACATTGATGTTAAATATTTATAATCTTTTCATACCGATATTTGATATTGAAGGAGTAGGTACATGTCCGCTAACATGTGCAATACCATTTTGAGTTGCCCTTAATTTATTCCGCCTTTGTGCAAGAATCCACCTCCTTAAGAATCGTGCACGCTTTCCAACTTCTCTTTTGTCCATTCTTTTTTTTTTGTAGACGTTTGAATTTGTTAGTTTACATCGATTATATAGTGTTTTATTCTTATTTTGTAATATTAAATTAAAACTTTTTATAAGTGCAAAAGGTAAAATTATCACTAAAAAGCAAAATATTAAATCATGCCAGAGTATTCCACAACATAAATAAATTAAATAGCAAATATAGCATCATATAAATAATAAATTAACGGCATTTTGATGGTTGATAATAAACCATAAAACAAAGGCACTTTCAATTACTATGTACAATCACTAATGTTTCATCTAATTTTCTAAATACTGCTTCTATTTACTTGACATTTGACAATTTACTTCTCTCTCACTTTTTATTATTCTCTACCAGAAAACACACTTAAATTTAATAAGCTGAACAAACCTAATGCACAAATTAGTTGTCTAAGATTGTGTTATATCTATCACTTGTCCCATTACATCATCTCCATTTGGATCCCATTCCATAAAAGCTTCTATTAACCTTGTTGCTACAAAATCAAGTTTCAGATACCAGGTTGCCATATACCGGTATTTAGTTGGATGTATTTCTCCATCATTAGTCAACACATCGTTATACTTTTCCTTAATTGGAACCCATGGTTCTAAGTTTGGAATTGTTTTCAATAGCACATCAATCCTTCTTGGTGCAGAATAGTAGTTGTTAAAGCCCCCAATCAAATTTGTTCCCCCAAAAGTGCATCTTTCTCTTACCCTCTCAACATAATCATTAATGGACTCTCCATGATGCATGCCTAAGTTATACGGATACATAGGGTGATCTTCCATCTACGACAAACAAACAAATTGAACTTTGATACACCAAAAAATTGCACAAAATTTGTAGAAGTTTAAATAATGCTTTTTATAATACAATTTTCAAATTCATATAAGTTGTAAAATATGATATATAGTCATCAATTCTTAATAAAATGGGAGTAACATGCTTACCTTAGAAGGAAAAAGCCTTTTAGAACTTAAGGATTGCTGGTGTTTTTTCACTCTCTATTGTAGAAAAAGAAACATTTATTACTTTGTCAACTTATAGTAAAGAAGCATATAAATCATGTCTGTAATTTTTTTTTTTAGACTCTTAAATATCAATAAATCTCAAAATACACCGCAACTTCAATTATCTGTATTTATCGTCAGTATATTGCACTGCTAAAATGCTAAACTAATACATTGTATGCCATGCCTCCCCCTTCTCTATAAGCAATTTTAGTGACCATGTATCCTACTACTTTTAAGTGATATCTGACCAATTGAACACAGAATAGAAGAGACAGGTTGATAAAAAGCAATAGAAGTTCCACTCTAATTAGGCAACTACATGTACCTACTGCATCGTTTTTTTTAAGGATGTATTTTTAATCATGAAAAATTTAGTACCAATAGATTGAAATTAAGATAAAGTTTCAAGATCTGTACTACTCATTGTCAAACAATTTAGCATAGTTAGTTATTGCATTGTAAAATGCTATTGTGTAGATTTCATATTACTATGAATTTGTAAAATGCTAATCTAATACAAATATGACTATGAAATGCACTCTTTCAATGTCAGTGATAATAGTCATTTGTGAAATAATGCTAAATTGAGCAACATAATTGTAGGTACTAATGATGCATTGTATGATGCTAATCTAATATTTGTAATGACTATACCTATTGAATTTGTAAAATGCTAATCTAATACAATAATCTCCATTAAACTTTCATTTGGAAAAGATTTAAACTTTAATATGATTACATGAAACAATTCATTATTTTTATTTGTGTCATCATATTGCATTTTATCTTTTAGTCTACATAAATTGTAACAAATTAGAATTTTGCATTAATGTTTAACATACTTACCCTCAGAAGTTTGTGATCGAATGAATGTTGTTCGACTAAATTGCAATTTTCCTGTTTCATATAAAAAGTACAAAGTATGAATTTTTGTCACCAAACATAAAAATTTGACTTTATTAAGGATTGCAATGTACGTCTTACAATTACGAAAAAGATATAACATGAGTACAATCAATGATATTTCAGAGGGTGAACTTAGAGGAACTTACTCTTTTCCTGAAAATGTTCAATAGAATGGTAGTTGTTTTCTTATAATGTGAAACTGATTGGAAGTGAAATGATGTTGTATTATTTATACTTTTTTTTTAAGTTTTTGTTAATCGTTACCATTAATGTATTTTTTTTCTTAAAAATTAAATAACTTCGAAATTACTGTTTTTTTCCTTTTTTTTGCCGTCTTTTTTCCATATTTGTTTTTTTGAAACTTTTTTTTCGTTAAAATTGACTTAATTATAAACCTTTCTCTCAATTCTGATAGTTTTATACAGAAATAATTTTTTTTTTGAATCCATATAGTAATATATATTTTTTCAATAAAATTAAACTATACCTCATTATTTTTGGGGAAAATCGACACATCAATGAGAATGGAGGAATTGGAGAATTCCATTTTTAATTCTGCATGTTGTTTTGAATATATTTGAAAACCCATTTCTATCAAATCAATTGAATTCAATAAATCCCCAAAAATCAATTGATGAAAGAGTTATGACCTCCATGGCAGGAGGAGGTATTAATTGATGAACGTTGAGAAGGTTAATTTGTGCAGGTGCCATTGTGTTAGATCTTTGATTTCAGCGACTTATCGATTTGGACCTTTGATTCTGGCGACTCGTCGGTGGTTGATTACCGCTAATTGACACAACGAAGAATGGATAAGTAAATAAAACATGAGCCATAGTGGATTGAAATTGAAAGGAATTCTTCAATAAGATCATGAATTTAGAGTTGATGTGTTGCATTTGATAAACAAATTTGCAGAAGTTTAAAGTACTGTATCGCCTTTTGAGCAAACCAAGAGAGAGGGGGGATTTAAGACTAACATAAAGGTCAGGGAGGAAGTAGGAAATAGACGACGTATTTTTATTTTTATCGCAATAAGAGAAAAAAAAAGGAGAAAAAGAAAAAGAGTTAGCCAGTGAAGGACGTGTGGCATAAAAGGAGGAAAAAAAAAAAGAAAAGAGAAAGCCAGAGAAGGACACGTGGCATATTAGTGTTTATGTTATTAAATATTAGTATTGATATAATAAAGTATAGATTTATTTTTTCTAACCTAATTTGATATGTATTTTAATACACAAGAAGCAACTTGGGAGACCAAAGCAAAAATGCATATAAGATACCCATGACTTTTATGGTGAGTAGTTGAGGTACGGAGGCGTGACTTTTCTTCCAAGGGGTAGAATGTAACAGAGTTTCGCACTTTTGATTCTTTTGCGAGTGTTTTAGGTTACTTGTAAGTACGTATTTAGGATGTGCGTAGATTTACTTAATTCTACCTAATTTCAAGTATTGAATTTACTTAACTCTAACTAATTTAAAGTATTATGTTTCTTAAGTTTTGAGACGAAACTTATTTTAATGAATAGACTGTAATACTCCGTAACTTTGATAACCATTTTTTCCAAATTATTGTATTAAACAAGGGTACTTTAGTAGTCCTACTTATTTGACAAATTTTTTTGAAGTATGTAAATATCAAGTATTTATTAATTATTTTTGGTTTTACATAAATATGATTATCAATTTTTGAATTTTGTTATTATTATTTTCTAATTTTATAATTTAAGTAACTAATAATCTTTTGAACTTAATTATTCAAATTTAATATTTCCAAAATTATTAATGAACAATATTTTCCTGATTTCATAACATTATACTAATAGCTAGCAAATTATATTTTCAAATTTTATCCTTATTATTTTCGGATTAATTATTGTAAGATATCTTATTATTTTTTATTCTAGAAATCCAATATTTAATCATTCATCTTATAATTTTCGAAAACCCTAATCAAAATTCTAAAAATATTTTCGGATTTCCTCTAAATTGCCGTAATGATTATCTTTTGGGGAATAACTAATTATTTACATATTGTAATAAAAATTCATTATCTTAGGGTTCATTTGGTATCGTTGTAGTTTTTTTTTTTTTAAATAAAAAATCATATAATATATGTCATATAGTGAATTAAAAATTGATCAAAATTATTAAAGTCATGATAATTTTGAAATATAATAAATGAAATGTGGAAACACCGTTTTCTTGTATTTTTTTTTTGGTTTTTGTTTACAAAAAAAAGAAAATTGAATACAAAAAATGATAACAAAATAGCCTTTAATTAATTGTATTCGGTTTTTATAAAAATATCTAATGTGATTATAATTTTCGGATTTTATTTAAAAAAAACGATTTTATAAAG